GTACTTCTGATTAAATATGCTGCTCATAGCATCCAGATTTTTACTACATGAACTTTAAAAATATTTTTGTCTGTACTATCTACAGTGGTATTAGAAAATGAGCTGTCCCACTTCAGCAACAACATTCAACTCAAGTACCAAGTCCCTCTCTCTGTTACAGCTGTACAAGTTATTTGGCAATTTGAAAGGAAGAAACGAAAGTTAATTTGTCTGTCATTTAATAGTCATGCAGATGAGACACTGTCCTTGCTATTATTGGCAAAAGGGCGCAAGCCATGAAATTATACATTTAGCTATAGTAGAAAATGCTTTTATTTTTTTAAGAACACAACTTCTGGAAATTAAGCCCCTGTAAAATCAAACGCTTTTATATTCAACCTTAAGAAAACTGTGTTAAATTAAAAATACAAGGTTACTGGATACAGAACAAGAGAAAAAAAAAACCAAGTAAAAGTTAAAAATTAATGAATCACAAAAATGAAATCTCATATACCACAAAGGAAGCAATCAGGCTGAAAGTCTGCAGCACGACACAGGGACTGCTTCAGAAAACCAATGAAAAAAGTAATTTCATGTAAATTATATCACACTGGCTTTTTTTTTTTTTAACCAAGAAAAAAGTACAGATTTCTCACCAGGACCATCAGTACTTTTGATCATGTCACTGTTTGTTGGTTTAGCAAAAGACTCCAGCTCCTGTCACTGAGCAGTGCAGAGACCTCTGACACTTAAGGCCTGCAGCGTGATTCCACAGTAGCCTAAATCTCAGCAGACATAATCCATCCTTCTTCTTTGCAGCTGTATGTGTGATCATGCAATCAGCAGTTTAGGCTATGCTGAAAACGTAACCTTTTTTTGTATGGGTGTGGTTTAGATGGATCAGTGCCCTTAATGAACAATCTGGCCTGTGGGGTGAAAACAGATGGTGGATCTGTATCCTTAAGTTCATCTAGCAAGCATGGAAACAAACAATGCATTATAACTACAAAGATTTCTATCTTAATGGAGCATTGATTTGTAAAGTTAGGCCAGAAACACAAAATGTGAGTAACAACTATTCCACCACCAATAAAAACTTGGAAATGAACCCATCTCCTTTCCCTGAAATAATTTTACTTGACTTATACGGGCTCTGCATCCTGCAAGGTTAGTCTTGCTACCATCTGAAGTCCATTTAAGCTTCCCTCACGTGGTTAAGATGTAGAATATGCATAATAACAAGGCTAATCCATTAATTACTGAGAAGGATGGATGCAAAGTTCTATTATGTGCTTGCTTCATTCTTGATTTAGAATCATAAATCAG